CGAAGGAGGAGATCCCGAGGACGAAGCTGCCGTGGGAGAACAAGCGCCGAAGGCCAAGCCCATGCCAAAATCACCTCCTACCGAATCATCTATCATTGTCATTGAAGAACCAGACTGGTATACCACGGCGCCGCCGGAGGGAACCAAGACTGTCGAGATCTTCGGTAAGGATTATGGCAACCATGAGATCAAGTTTGTTCTTTGGGCAGATAGCAGGGGCTCATGTTTGCACATGCCAGCTCCTATTGCGGGACCGAGAACGAAAGTCAACGGCAGATCTTGGAAGCTCTATGTTCAACGCGTGGCATATCATGTAAGTGTGGCAATGGGGGGGAAGTGTCGACTCAAGATTCAATCTACAACCTGTCACCGACAACTACCTGAAGACAAAGCTCATTGAAGGTGACGAGTTTTGGACGAAGCTATATGCAAAAAATGACATCCGAATTCGAGATCCCATTGGACCCAGTTCCACAACCGGTCGCGGCAGGAGCTAGCATCAGGGCATTGCAATCCAAGATAGGGTGCCTCATTGATGACAGCAGCAAGGTCAAGATAGTAGGAGAGACAGGCATCTTCGACCATGACGAGTTGAGCGGACAGATCAGAAGCGGAGGAAACAGTTCTTTGATCTTTGTCATCGACTTAGTTACACTACCAAAGCCACCAGCTCAAAGAGGACTACAACAATGGCTTTAGGTCTCCAGAACGAGGTATCTTTGCAGTGCTGCAGAACCTACTAGGTCGAAGGCAATTCACATGAAGATATCCTCAGGACCCTGAGTGAAGTGCATGACTTCGTGTCCAGCCAAGAATCTGATGTTGGCGGTACCACCGTTCACATCTGGTTGCGCGCGAGATGCACGTATCCGAATCATGGAAGCACGAAGCTGACGGAACCTTCGTTCAAGCAGTTCACACAGAACTTTTTGGGTAAGATAGCGAACCACCTGAGCTCTCCCATCATGTTGAGCGTTCAGATGGCAAGCAAATTCTTTGGTAGTGGGGGAATTGACAGCAAATCCGTTCTCATTGATCTAGCTCTTCAGTCAAGGAGGACCAATGTCATTGCTACTGTCAAAGCTCGGGTGTGGAAAGCTTTGTGGTCAATCGCTGGACCCCCGGGATCGCCTGCTGTGACAGGATCTGCCAAGAATTGCATTTGGGCTGTCATTGAAAGACAACTATGTCGAGAAAGATTGTTGCTTCTATGTGCGCAATGGATCCCAAGCATGTCACCGCCTTGAATCGCATTGCAGAAGACGACACTTATGGATCCCCCTCTGCAGCGGAACATGACAAGTACAATATTGATACGCCAAAGGTATATTCAGGGCCCGCAGCGGATGATGCTGAGGTCATCGGTGGAATCTTCAAGTCAGATTCAGCGTGGAAAGACATCCATTTCATCATGAAGGATCCGGAGCCTGAGGTTGATGTAGCGGACTATTGGATGCGAGGCAATCGAAACCTTGACCGAAACAACGAAGCTACTGTTTCATTGCCATACCTTTGCCGAAAGTGTCGCATAGAAGATCATCAAGATTTGCATGAATTGCAATTTCAACTATTGGTGCGAGCTGAATATGATGTGCACCATTGAGGAGGAGAAGAACTACATTTGGGAATCAGCTTTATGTCATGTATGTCATCAGTTGTTCAATGCCACGCTGAAGTCCCGGCTCTGCAACGCTAACATTGTATCCGATCGTCCATAGATCAGGTGGGATCTCAGGAAACCAATCACGAAGGTTCCGGAATAGTTCAACCATTTGACCACTGTATGGTGATCTGGTAGCCCACTCTGTTCGTGCCAAATCAAGATCCTTGAAGCACTTCATGAGGAAGTGTAGTACTGCATACTGTTCACTGCTGCTGCCTCTCCAATCCGCATATTCTTCTTGTCATCCACAATGCTTTGCACAAAATCGACAACACTCATGAGTGAGTCCGGGTGATTCGAATTGTGGAACCTCAAGTTGAATCCGAGATAGGCGGTGCCATATCGGGCTATCTTGCAACTTTCCGGCCAATTCCTTCACACCCATTGTGCGATAGGGCCCCACACCTGTCGGCAAGCGATGACCATAGTCATTCATCACATCAAAGAGGTTGGTGTCTCTGGTGACATAGACCAATGGGTCGCCAGTCTGCGCAGTGGAGTTAACCCCTTGGATTTTCCTCACTTTGATCTTCGTATCTAGAGTGTTCCTCATCGCACTTGCTAGCTGTTGTGGACTGAACGGCTCTGCATGGTGTAAAGAACTTGAGTAAGTATGTCTTCTGGAAACCTCTCGGGATCATCCCATACCTCAGTCGGAATCAGATTGGCTTTCCATAACCCCAGATCATTGACCTTAGGCCATGGAGGTACATTCACCTTGTGTTCTTCTTTTCTGGAGACTTTTCTGGTAGTTGCGAGCATGGGTGAGGATGAGGACGCTGCTGTTGCTTCAGACAACATGCTCCTTAGTTCTGCGTTCAAAGCTTCTCGTTCTCGTACTTCCTCACATTCTTCGGCATAACTCTCGAAGGCTTCTTCATACCATTCATACATCTCGTCTCGGCTACTCCTCAATCTGTGAGAAGTACTTAGTATCTTCTTTCAAGCATGAACTTTCTCCGTCATCGGGTCTGCGGGTTGGCAACCCAGTCATGACTGAAATCTCGACCACGTTCGGTATGTGCTTGTTCATGGCAAAGTTTTGCCTTCATCCGTGCACGCTCCGATGGTAACTCCCTATCGTTCTCCTGAAGTTCCCCTTCGAGTTCTTGTATCTTCTGTTTGATCCTTGCTCCTTCTCGTCCATCAAGGCCGGGAGTCTTCAAAAGATTCTCTCGTTTCAATGCTCTGTTGAGTGCAAGGTTGGCCTCTTTCAACTGTTGTTGCTCTTCTTTTGCTTGTTGTTGAATGCCACGTGCTGTTTCTTCAAGTGTGCTCATGGCTTCGGCCACTACTCTTGCTTCATACTGAAACTGTTGCCCTTTCTGTGATCTCCAACTTGTACGCGTGGATTTCAGTCTTTTGTTCGAAGGCACGCGAATTCATCTCTGCAGCTGTGCTGAGTTCTGATCCTTTGATGATGGCTAGCTGTCCACGGAGACGCTCGACCATTTTTTTGCTCTTGATACTGATGACCTGTGGTCTCAGCTATCTAGTCAGCTAGTTGTATCTGATGCACCTTGCTATTCCATTGTCTTGCTCTTTCCTTCTGAGCTACCTCCAACATGTTGTTGCTCTCATCTTGCAGCTCCAACATCCTTATCTGAAGGCCATTCGCAACATCAATGATTGCTTGATTCTCTTCACGTAGGCTGTGAGCGCGTCGATTGGCGGCGTCATAATTCTGATTTTGCTCTTGGATGTACCGAAGGGCGCCTTGCATTTCATGGGTCATATCCCCCATCTTGGATCTCACGTGTTCCTCATGACTTTCTTGGGCAAGTTCTCGATACTTCATATATAAGTGACCTGCCATTGATTCAGCGAGTCGGAGCTTCCGTTCCAGTTCTTCAATTCTGATAGTTGCTCATTCGTCTTCTTGCATCATCTCTTGTAGGTGATCGTGCATGGATTCGTTGCATCTTGTCAACTGCGAAAATTCTTCCTGAGGTCCAGAAAATAATCTTGCATATCCAGCATGTAGGCAACTGTACTTGTCATTCAGGTATTGGTATGAAACTCTGGCTGATCGTAGTTCCTCAACGAGTTGAATCTCTCTTTCCTCAATGCCTTTCGCGTCTTCGATCTCAACTCTTTCAATGCTCCTCTTTGGCGATCTATCCATATTCGTTCTTGGCGATGTTGATCTTGTAAATCTCTTCAGTGTCCTCTTTGCGTTGCCTGTTCTTGCATCGGATCGTCGTCTCCAGTGAAGCGACTCTGCCTTCACCTGATACTTGTGATCCTGTCGGAATGGTCATTACTGTAGCATCTGCTGAACTCGCACCAGTCAATGATCCTGGCGATGATTGAGACATAGCTCCTCCAGGTGCAGTGAAGGAAAACTGTTCACTGCTCTTTCATCCGGAACTAGACTTTGCAGGTCAAATGTCGACAATCTTCACTTTGGGTCTCTTTCAAGCTCGTAACCTCAGGGCGGCTACGGCTGATAACCTGCGAGTGGATATTAACCTTGTAACCGGGAAGGTTTACAAAGCTATCCTATGCTCCATTCAGAATCAAAAGGACATGCGGCCTTTTTCCTCCAATAGGGGCACTTGAGCCAAATAGTTGGCGGTCATCACACAATGTATACTGTCTGTACATATTGTATACCTATCGCTGCACTTCCATTGACAAAATTTTACCAGTGCCGAACAGGCGGAATCATGCCCAGCTGTTGGAGATGTTTCTTGGGTTTATTACTTTCTCCAAAATACATTTCTGTCCGGTATGGCCTCAGTCTCGACTCCCCCCTTGTCCATGTCACAGGCACCCTTCCAGCGTGCTTCTAAAGACCAGCGTTGCAGGAGCAAGCACAAGGCAAAAACAAAAGAACATTGCTATTTATACTGTAAGCTTCTGGCCATAGACTCAAAACAGCATATCAGCGCTCAGCATGGCCAAAGAGCCTCGAAATGCGGCTACTTAGATCTATTTGAGCACTTTTGTGAGCATCCGAAGCCTGCAAATACCAGCATTCATGCGTTCAACACTGCAACCTACACACTTTTAGCAGCGTCAAAGGGTCTGCACATTGTAGTCGTTTTATGTCGACGTCCCGCGCGTGGGCGCACGCCCAAGAAAACCTATGTTGTTGTTCTCGGGGGCGTGTTCACGCGCGCGTGCACAGGACCCAGAAATGAGGCGTGCCTGCACTGAAAGCTTGCGTGCTGTCCAAATATACCTACGCAGGGCCTTCCGCAATGCCTGTGCCAGGGGTGTCATTTCTGCCAACACTCTTGGAGAACAATTGAATCAAAGGACCACTCTTGCAAGCTCTTCATCGAGTCTTTCTGTTCAAGTGGAGTACCCAACCTCCAGAAAGCCAGGCGGCCGAAAGTCACAAGGGATGCTACCAGCCATGGGAATGGACAGCTCCTCAGGTGAAACAGAAGTGATCTACAGTATCCTTTTGCAAGATGTAAGGCCACACGTAGCCAGCACACTCACGGCCTTCAACCTCACAAAACCTGAGAGGATCCAAGATTGTTCTGTGATTTCTTCAATTTTGCAGTTGAATTTTGTGTCTCTCTCTCTCTCTCTCTCTCTTTCAACCACTGAAAACTGGTCCAAAGTAAATGCCCGAACTATGCCGAACTTGTTGCCATCTGTTTCACTTCAAGCAAAGAAGTCGGACAGCCGAAATGAACCCGAAGAAGTGGGACCCCTCCGGATGGACCCCGATTTCTTCGGCTCGGTCGCATGGGTCCTGAACGGGACCTGTGAGGCTTACCCACAGCACGACAGTGACACAGCACGACACACAGCGCCCCCCCAAAAGAAAATAAAAGAAACCTTCATGAACCTGAAACCCATCCTAAACCCGTCCTTAACCCCTTTCGACACCCTTTGTTGCCATGCCACGATGCGCGGGTCCAGCGCCGCGACCAGTGTGGTGGTCCATCCACCACCCGAGAGCCCGGCCAGAATGACCCGCTCCTCGGGCTTGACCGGAAGACGCTCCACAGAAGGTTTAAAGCCCCCGAAGTCACTCTAATCACACCAGATTCTTCCCTACGGAAGTCCAGTCTCCGTGAAGAGAAGACATGTTCCCAACTCATGTGACAGCGCTCTCACTGTTTTTGTTCAAGGGATCACAAGGTTGAGTTCGTAGATACAACTTCGCCGGCATTCCTACATATCCAACCACCACCGATCTGAAGGTAGGCAGCGGAGGTACTTGGAGCTCTACAAATACTCTTGTGACCTGTGCCATTTGCAAATTCCCGTTGCAAGCTGGAAGCAATGCACACAATTCACGCATCATCACAAACTGCTAGGATTCATGTCATAGCCAATGGATTCTGTGCAACATGTAAAAGAAGTATATATTATGTTCATTTGTGTCTGTTTCCAACTGGTCTTCGAAAATGCAGCCACTATTGCACTGTCACGTGGAGAACACGGCACTCATCAAACTCATTTCGGTTTCACCCTAGCACTGGTGCGGTCTTCGGGGTTTTCGTGGTTGGGTTGAGCGTTGTGTTTGGCTCGCCGAGACTCATAGCCAAGCCGTTCTTTGGCAAAGTTGATGGTCTTGATGACCTGAAGGACCAGGCAACGCAGAACAATACTGCACCATGGCGATCCGTCCACCGGCAACTTGGAATGCAACTCTCCAAGGTGGGGTTACGGCACAAGTCCAACCAGCGTCACGTTTAAGCAGGTTTCATGCCTAGATTCTTAGCAGCAATGATCTTTAGACGGTTGCCTTTACATGTTAAATCACACTCCCCTTGCGTTTCAGATGTCCTTCCGCTTTTGCGTCAAAACAATTCCTGCAGGTCTGCCCTCCCCCCTTCTCGTGGCCCTTGTGGCCCTTGCAACTTGGGCGCTGGTTCCAGAAAGAAGCGAACCCATGGAATGCGTTGGTCCTCGAAGAGTTTGAACCACGCCTCAACTGTTTCTTGCGTCTGGAGTCTGGGGGGGATGTGTTCAGAAACCTGCGAGATGGGTCTCTAGGAGTTCTG